TACCTTTACTATCTTCGGTGAGACGTTGAATTATTTTACTGTGAGCTTTCACGTCTATCGCCAATTTTTGTATGCCTGTTGGTACGTACAGAGCTCTAGTATCGAGTCCCAATATCTGTATTTGTAACATGTTATCCATAAATGCAGCCCAATTTTCGTACCAAGCAATACGTCCTCTGGTGCCCCTGATGGATGCACTTTTCAAGCTACAGAATATTTCAGTATATTCGTACCCACGAAGTTTCAGTTCCTTGTATATATCTTTGCTAGTGAGCGGTTCATCGGTCTCGACTGATTTCAAGTATTTAACATCAATCATTTCTTCTGAGGGATTCGACATTTCACGGATCGATCCCGTCACAACAGTTGTAGACTTTTCTGATATCTCGAATTTCCCGGAACCTGGGGTAATTAGTGCGCAGAGCATGTAGTGAATCTTCATGAAAAATTATACACGTTGAAGAAGAACGTACCTCTATGGATCATGATTGATAAGAAAACTGGCGAAGAAATGTTAGATGCACGTTCAAACTTCACATCTTCGAAAATCACTGATAATTCATTCATAAGCTTTCCTTGCATCATACTAAATGTTTCCCAGACCAGAACCAAGTATCCCGTGGCTGGAAGCAAGTTTCTTCCATCAATTACGTGATGAGCCATATACTTAAAATTGTTGTTTGAAAGTACTATTTCAACATTCCTTTCTGCCGTTGTCATGTTCTCGTTTGAGCCAAATTTTAGTACAAATAAATCTTTAGAGTGCTCCCATCTAATACAGAGCATTTCTATTTAGTATTGCTGCAAGTTTATTTTGTACGCAATACATTATATAATGCGTACGTATGTACTCACCTAACGTAGGGCGAGATCATGGCAGTACCACGACTAACCGGAAATTCTACGTATGGATAAAGATTCGCCAATTGTGGTTGCAAACCAGCATTGTATAATTTTCCAAGGGCTTGTAAAAAGTATTCTGCATTGTCGTTGTACCCTCTCTGAGTTAGCGGTACGTTTACTACGTTAGGACCCAGCGATCTTTTCACGATCGCCTGTAGAAGTCCATGGGGCGCGATTTCTATGGCTATCGCGTCAGACGGGATCATTGCAGCAGTTTCCTCGAATAATACCGAGTTCA